GAACGCTAGAGGCATTCTTCTTTATGGACAGGATAGAGGAGAAATTTCGAGATCAAGGGGGAGGGCGTAGTCGAAGCAGAGGGAAATTGTCCCGACTACATTCCGAATGGAGTTTGGGTGAAGTTGGTCTATGGTGACGTTGAAAAACTTTAAGACCTCTATGATCAGAGGATGTAGAGGAAGACGGAGCCCAGCCGCGAGCTGCTCTCCGAAAATCAAGATCTCATCGTGACCGTGTTCCCAAGGGAAGTTACCCGCGAGGAGATTATAGGTATACTCCCTCGGAAGATTATACTGATGGATCAAGGCCCTAAGTCTCTCTATGGTCATAGTTGAGGGACCGAACTTATCCGGTACCCGAACTCGAGGAGAGGTAGACGCTGGGTTATCCGAGGCCTCCCGCGCCTCGTAGGTTGACTAGGCCTTAGAGGCACCTACTTGAGTCGAGGTACCCACCTTGGGCTCATCTAGGAGACTATCAAAACTATGGCCTGACATAACTACGAACTGAAACAAACTGAAAAAGAAGCTAGGGAAACTCACCAAAGGAAAGCGACCGAACTAGGAAGCTGACGAGCTGGAGAACCCGAGCTGAGGAATTTAGGCGCGACCTCAGGGTGAACGCTAGTGAACTTATGGCAAAGAAAATGACTCGGGTCCCCCCCTATTTATAGCCGCTATATCCGAGAATCAACGGTCAAGATCATGACGATCCAACGGCTCTCAAGGAAACCAGCTATGCGACTCTCGAGGTGAAATCAGTTTAGCGCGTTTTTTGACGTCCGCGGAGCCTATAGATCGCGTGACATCCGTGCGTGAACTGTATGCAAGCTGGGTTATCCTTGATTGAGCCCAGGAGCGAACTGGTCCGACCAGCGAACTATCTGACTAAGCGACCTGGACTTCGAGCCAAATCCATCAGTCACGTCGTGAACTCCCACATCGGGTCAGGACCCCTAGCCTGGAGAGTGGGGGGCAATTGATGAAGGGTGATTCGGCCCGATCTCATAATAAGGGGACACGTGGACATGACCTGACGTAAGTGACAACTCAGCATAACAAGCTCGGTACAACTTAGCTTGATAGCTCACCCGAAGTGGCAGCTTGCGGCAAGATGATACTCCGACGACCCGAGCTATGACTCTCCCAAGTAGGGAGCATCCTGAGCTGAAGACACCTCGGAATGAGCTTGTCAGCCCCCTAACTGGGATCAGCTCGCTCCCGCCCAAACTTAGGCTACTTAAGAAATCCGCCTCGGAAAAACACCTCAGCACATCACCAGTAGCTCGGTGTAAGGTAGCCCACGGCAGAGCAACTCGGCGTATCATAAGAGATTCGCGCCTGACAACCGTACCTACCAGACTGCACCCACGTCTCTCGCCTAGCGGCGTCGTGCCTACCATCACTGAAGGTCGTTTCTTGTATGGAAGGGCCGTACTCTGCAGCGACCACCTTTGCCCGACAGCTCAGCTCTGACAGGTAACGGCCAGCCACGCCAAGCCGTTATCTGACAGCAGATCGCCGCAACAGGGATTCGGAGGCAGTTACACCTGATATGTCAGAAGGTTAGTATATAAGGGCCYAGCTAGGAGCACAGACGCCACCGGGAGAGCTCCCCGGGGATCCTTCTTCTTCCTTACAGGTACCTCGTCCGTCGCCAGATAGGAGCATAGCCGCCGCCAGCTAGGAGTGACCAGATCGCACACCATCAGCTACAGTTTTTCTTATCTGATAAAGATATTGAGCCATGGGAAACCACTGCCGGAGATGATAAACGATTTTCTTGATGTGATGAATCGTGTATTCGGGGCAGTTTTTTATGTGAAGCACATGATGAAGTCGTGTCATGGGTTGTATGGAGGGCTAGAACGAGTTGCGGAGGCGCTTGGCGTGGTTAGATTAGTGGGGTAGGCTCACTGTTGTGGGTTTGATAGCCTTCTCACATGGCAGGTTTTTGAGAAGTTATGCAAGTGTTTTGGCAAGGATGACTGGTCGTCGGAGGTGATGGGAATTATTACTGGGTTGGAGTGCCATGCATTGAACAGGAGATTGCAGTTGTACGCCAAGACCAATAGAGTCTGCAGCTGCATTCATCCAATTCAGAAGGGCTTAGTATGGCATCCTGTTGTCACCGTCATCTATCCTCTTTGTCCCCAGAACACTACTTCTGTTCAGTGTGTTGCTGCAACCATGTAGACTTACTAGGTAGTTGAATATGTACGGTTCAAATTAATATACTTGTGTTTTAGAATTTTTTCTCTCTGATGTATTATTCTGTATTGTTATTGCATTAATTTACTTCTCTCTCTTTAATTTTCTTGTGTGTAATTCTCTTCTCTGATGTATTCTATACTGGTGAGTAATTAAATGTCTAACTTGGGCTTGGTTCCTTTTGTCTTTCTAATACTTCAAGTTGATCCAATTTGGAAATCACTGCAAGTAGAGCTGTTCATAAGAAGACCCAAACCGACCAACCCGGTTCGATCCAACCCGAGTCAGCCGGGTTTTTTAGTGTCGGTCGGTTTCGGGTTACTAAAAAGCATAAACCGGTCGGTTGGTTCGGTTTTGGTTTCCACACATGAAAACCGAAACCAAACTGACCCAAACTGATTTAGTTCCTAGTTAGTACTTAGTAGTTAGTACCTAACTTAGTTTCTACTTTCTAGTTACTTATAATTTCTACTTTCTAGTCTTCTCTTTGGGAATGCCATTAATGCCATTAATAGTTTCTTGCATTTTTTTGGAAGGTTTAAAGAAATGATCCTACTCTCTAAGGTCCTTTATACCAAATAGGTAATTACAATTAGGTGTCTTTTTTACATAGATTAGAAGCCTTCTTAAAAATTCCAAATTTCAGTCTTTTTTTTCTAACACAATTTGACTTTTTCTTTTCTTGGTAACTTCTAACTTGGTCCGCCCTTACTCCCTTAGCCCCTCAACTCAAGCACTCAAACCGACCAGGTTGGTTTTGCCTAACACAGGGTCGGTTTTGGTTTCATTTTCAGGCAACCCGACCAGGTTGGGTCAGTTGGAAAAACAGCAGTAAACCAACCCAACCCGACCCGTGAACAACCCTAACTGCAAGTCCCTAAGTGGGTTTTTATTGAATTTCTGTTGGTCGGCTTGTGTTCAAATTTCTGATGGTTGGATAAGTGAATTGTCTTTCCTTTTTTTTTGTATTTATTATGCTTATTTTATGAAAATGGCTTGCTCCTTGATAATTCAAATATCAGTATGTTTTATATTTTTCTGGTTTGTTGATTCTAGTACTCCCTTGGCTTAGCTGACTTGCTGGTTAATGTGTTGACGCTTCATGAAGATTCAGGATCTGCTACCCAATCTGTACCCACATAGCACCACCACCATGTATTGGGGAGATGAATGACAAGGGAGATATTCCCAATGCGCAATTGTCATGTCTCGTGGGTAGCAGATCCGAGCTCCTTCCTGAATTCAATGTCATGTTGGTGAATCCCAGTACTGCTATTTTGTATGCTCCAGTTTGTTCAATTATCAATATTTAAGTATGTAGTGTATTATGTATATACCCTGGTAATTGCTATGAAATTTGAATCTTAGTCTCTGGCAATATCAACTTTTTCACAAATATTATAGGTTATTAGATAGGTTGCCTAGAGGATGGATGAAGGAAAGTAACACAAACCAAAGACATGGAATAAATGTGGTTGATAAGAGTCTTAAGACTTAAGAGCACAAAAGCATGAAACATAAAAAAAAAAAAAAAAAAAAAATGCTGAAGGCATGGCATACTACTTAGCCTCAACAATATAAATATAGAGGAGCCAGTTGTGTGAGAACAAGTTTTACAACTTGTGCAATTAGCATTCCTTATGTTGTGGTGGAGAAATAAGAAGAGACATTACTAAACTATAATCAACTAATGACAATTGAATGAGATTATACAGTGCCTAATGTTTTCCTTGTGAAATGTTCCAACTAGAATCAAATGGAAGTTGTACTAATTTCATCTTTAGGAGAGAGTGAGGCACAATTATCTCTTAGTGTTTGTACCAAACTATTTTCTTTTTTTTGGATCATGAAAAATTTTGAATCTGGAACTATGTGAAGAATTAGAATGTAGATATCAAAAATATGGATTTAGGAATTTGTATACCAATACTTATAAGATACTGAGGAAATATCTAAGGGTAGTTTCTATATTTTTGTGGATTCTTTCGGATATCATACTATTCCAATGGATGTTGTTCTGTATGATTCTTAGAACTCAATGATGCTTGAATGTCTATCGATGGTTTTATGACTACTGTCTAATTGAAGGAGATTCATAACACAACTCATCTGTCTCTGCTTGTCTGCATAAGGTATTTAGATACTTATATCTCAACATTCCTTAAAGTTTTAATCCATATGCACTTTGCATGTACTTAAGCTGCATGATGATTTAGGTCTAGTTTCAGGATTATGCTGCATGTGTCTTGATGTAGGTGTGACTGATATTTTGATCAATTAGAAGAATTGTCCAAGACCTTCCTGTGAAAACAGAGAATATTTGTAGGAATTTGACAAAGTATTTCTGGAAGCAGTCCTTGAAACTATTCTGATTATCAATGTAATTTTGTGGAACATGTACAGATAGTCAAGCCTGTTTTGATTCTCAGTTCAAGCAAGCACCGATCTCTGTTCGTTCGAGCAAGAGATTGGGTGGATGAGGTTGCATTTTGGTATTTTGTTCGTACAAATTATCTGTATCTCTAGAGGTGTGTTTCTTTCTCTTCTTCAGATTATATGGATAGTTGGTACTCTATTGACCTTTACAAGGTATTCATTTGGTTCAGCTATTTTTTCCCTCTGCGTTTGCATCATAGCTTTGCTTATTTTTCTTTGTTTTACATTTTTTAGTTGTGGCTGGTTATGGTGATGATGGTAAGACTAGGAGATACTTTAACATTGCTTGTTTTGTTCTCTCTTTATCAAGGGTTGCAGATTGTATCCGTGGTTTTCCTTTTCATTTTTTGTCTGAACTATTGAGTGCAGCAGAATGGGGAGTGTTTATGGATCCACCTACAGGGCATACACATATGAGAATCTGGAGAGGGAGCCATTTTGGCCACAGGAGAAGCTCCGAATTTCCATTACTAGAGCTGGTGGGTTTATTGCTTCCCACATTGCCAGGAGGTTGAAGAGTGAAGGCCATTACACCATTGCTTTTGACTGGAAGAAAAATGAACACATGACAGAAGATATGTTCTGTCATGATTTCCACCTTGTTGATCTCAGGGTGATAGATGACTGCTTAAAGGTTACAACTAGGGTTGATCACGTTCTTGATCTTGCTGCTGACATGGGAGGGATGGGCTTCATTCAGTCTAACCATTCAGTTATTATGTACAACAACATAATGATCAGTTTCAACATGCTTGAGGCTGCAAGAATCAACAGAGTTAAAAGGTTTGTTAACCTGGAAGTAACACTTGACTGCATCATGTTTGCACTTCCTGTTTGGGAACTGGATTCTGGATTCTGGATATTGTTACTATGTTACCAATTGATGCAGTTTTTGTCTGAATGTCTTAATATTGAATTGTATGTTGGGTTTTGTAGGTTCTTCTATGCTTCTAGTGCTTGCATCTACCCTGAATTTAAGCAGTTGGAAACTAATGTGAGCTTGAAGGAGTCTGATGCCTGGCCTGCAGAGGTTTGCTGTCCATAATTAATTCAAAGAAGTTGGATTTATTTCTATTGATTTCATCTTACTGACTATTTGTGGGGTTTAATCTTTTTATTTTCTTGTAGCCTCAAGATGCTTATGGCTTAAAGAAACTTGCAACAGAAGAGTTGTGCAAACATTACACAAAGGACTTTGGAATTGAGTGCCAAATTGGACAGTTCCATAACATATATGGCCCCTTTGGAACATGGAAAGGTTAGCTTAAACATGCAGGGGTTCATATTTATTGGGTATATTTGTTTCATTGGCCATGTGTTGATATATGCTGCATTGCTTTCACCGATTGTAGGTGGGAGGGAGAAGGTCCCTGCTGTTTTCTGTTGAAAGGTCATTACACCACTGATAAGTTTGAGATGTGGGGAGATGGACTTCAGACACGATCTTTCACCTTCATTGATGAATGTGTAGAAGGTGTTCTAGGGTTATTACTAAACTGAATATCTGTCTCACTGTTATCTTTTCAAGCTCTAGTCTTATAATTTTTTCTTTGCACTCTTATTAATTGCATTAACTTTTACATGTATTTAGATTGACAAAGTCAGATTTCCGGGAGCCTGTGAATATTGGGAGTGATGAAATGGTTAGCATGAATGAAATGGCAGAAATTGTCCTCAGCTTTGAGAACAAGATTATTCCAATCCATCACATTCCTGGCCCAGAGGGTGTGCGGGGATGCAATTCAGACAATACTCTGATTAAGGAGAAACTTGACTGGGCTCCAACTATGAGATTGAAGGTAAGTGCAAGGAGATTTTTTACCGACTTTTTCAGTCTTTGACATGCTTAATGATCTTGGGCATTCCTATCTTTGTATTTTTTGCAGGATGATGGGCTGAGAATCACTTACTTTTGGATCAAGAAGTAGATTGAGAAGGAGAAGGCTCAGGGTGTCGATGTGGCTGTTTATGGGTCATCCAATGTGGTTGCTAAGCAAGCACCTGTTCAACTTGACTCACTACGTGCAGCTGATGGTAAAGAATGAAGTTGGTGAATCCAATCAACATCTATGGTTGCACTAAAAGGCCTAGTATTATGTTCAATAAATCAATACCACCTTATCATGTTGGCAGCGATGAACTAGGTACGGATAGTAGTAATAATTCATGATGCAGGTCAGGCGTTTGGTCCTTTTCATTTTTATAATTACCATTTTGGTGTATGAAAGGAATGTTTTATTCTCATGTATTACTCTAGATTTTGAGAGTGGGTCTCTGTTCTTGAATGATACAATAAGTAATCTCAGGAATGTAAGCTTCCTATTTTATGTGTAAATGAATGGATAATATGGTACCATCTCTCTTGTAATTTGTTCTTTTAATTGGGTGAATTCTTTGTGCAAGTCACTGTTATGAAGTTTGGTTAAATGATGGCTGCCAATGTAATCAATGGCAATCTTCTATGTTCTTGAAAAGGTCGACTGAGATCAAAGAGCTAGGAAGTCTGTAGAATCAGTAGAGACAGAAGCCTCTTGGGTATTCTTATGTGGTCCCTTACCATAGACGGATATTTCAGATCAGGTAGACTTGTATGGGAGCTGGTCGAACTGGATACCCAATTCCCCATGTAACATAAAGATTAATTTTAGACATGCCCTTATTTTTTTTGGGTGACCATGCTCACATGGTGACTTGCGACTCTTGAAGACACAATGTAACTTGCAGCAGTAACAGACATGTAATATACTAGGATCATCCCATCCTACTCATTTTCTTTTTCTATTGATATATACAAGATTATGAAGGTACTATAGCTTTATAAAATATAGTGAGCATAGCTAGAACTAGAAGTATAGATGATGCCTTGCATGAAAACTAAGTCCTGAATGACAGCATACTTCGTAAAGTCTGTTATTGTCTATGGCATGTATGACAAACCTAACTATTTTCAGTCACTGGTTTACTAATCATAACAATGGTTTCCTTGATAAAAGCAAAAGGAAAGGAACATCCAATGGAAGTTCTTGTGGTTCATGTCTAGGATGCTAACTATTTAGAAGTTGAGTGATGTCACAGTGGTGGGTCACCTCTGTCAATAAAAGTATGGATATTTATTGATTCAAAGCCCGGGAGATTGGCCAAAATAAAAGAGCTCCAAGAGGTAAATCTTTCATTGATGAAACTCTAGAACTTACCCAGATTCTGATGAGTATTGTTTCCCCATACACATGCTTGGTGGTAGCTTCATTGCAAAAGGATCAAAGTACCAATGGGTCAATCACCTAAGTACTTCCATTAATTTTATGAAAGTAAACAGATTAGCTACATAAACATAACAGTATTTAGAGTGGTTGAAAAATATGAATCTATTTATAATTTTAAATATGCATATATAATAAATTGTACACATATTTACATATAAAATATGCTGAATTTTTTACTTCAACATTTTTAAATAAAAATTTATTAAAAACAAATGCATATTTGGCTGACCTTTTGCCATATGATGCTCATTTGGTCTATTTTTTACTATATTTTTGTTCTTTATTTAAAACTGCACAAGAATGTTTCCTGCATTGTATTTATGCTGTACACATATATTTACTGGCTATGGTCCTTGCCCACTAGTCTTAAATTTATCTATTACTATATAAAGTGGATTAATCTCCACTTCTACAAGAGTGCAGGTAGAAAATCTGTTATTACTCTCAAACCTCTTATGTGTATATACATCTGCATGTGCTTTCCTGCTTGATAAATATAAGAGAAATTAATAGAATAAGTAGTTAGTATGAGTTCAGCCACACCAATTTTTCAGGATGAACTTGCTTATATAACTAGAAAATAAACTCATACAATGCATTGGGGTTAGATAGAAATTTGGTTAGGTTTGGATTGCTAAATTTGGGTTTTCACATCAGTTTAGTTCCCTAGGCCAAGGTTCATGTTTAGGGTTGGCCTTTAACCTGATCCAATCCATCTAATTTATACCCCTTTTATGAGAAAAGGTCAAAAAGGGTTTAATGAAATTAAGAAGAAAAGAGGGATCCAATAGGAGAGAGGAGATGAAAAATTTGCTCTTTCTATTATTGCTCATAGTACTTTCTATCATTTGGTTATGAACCATTTGGTTGGTCCATAAGAAACTATCTTTTTTCCTTTTTTGAGTTTTGTTTATATTTTCTACTGAAAATTTTAGGTTTTGTAAATGGGGCAAATACTCTGTAAAGTGGCTTTCAAGTCTCAGAATAAACTTCAACTCACCTTTAAGTTTCATTTTAACTTGGTGAATTGGCAAAAAGATAAAAGAAGGCATGATTGTTTAAAGGGTATGAATGACATAATAGAACATTGAATGAGGCCTAATGGTATACCCCTTGCAATTTAATTAGGTTTAGCTTCAGGTTGCTAATTTTAGTTATATTTTATTCCTAGTGATACAATCCCGCCTACCGCATGTGATGCAGCTTCAACATCTTTTACAAATGCACTAAATGTGTCCATAGATATTTCTTTTAGTGAACCCTGCACTGGTGGAGGTGGTTTTGGGTGCTCATCTGTGAACACCTGCAATGTGAGTAGGTGGCCTAATAAATTTATCAAGCTTCTATTTACTCGTGTTTCACTTTTATTTTTGTTAGGATATACCTTTTAATCAAATTAATGGTTTTGTTAAGTTGTTTTTATAGCAATTTATTTTTCCTTATAATTTTTCCAAGTGGTTAATATCAAGGTGCTTTAGCTATTTCTGAGTCTGCATTGTCAAGTTGGAGGACCCTTCCATAATTAGTTTATTTGATTCGTTTAAATATAGGTCCGCCTTGCAGCTAATAGTCGTGTTTCTAAGGACATTACTGGACCAAGAACCTATTGGAGAAGATGGGGTCACTGTAACTTTGGAGGAGAAGCTCTGAGACGCGTCTGAAGACACTGTCTTTAGAACGTTATTTGCCCCCACTCAGTTTTACTGAGTTTGCTGTTGGGTTACAGGCAAATTCATTCCCATGATACAATAGAGCCTTGGGCGAAAATCTACAACCAGCAAAGTTGAAGAGTCTCCAAAGAAACCTTCTGTGAGACTGTAGCAGACCAGACTGAGAGAGAGAGAGAGTGAATTTTGAAATTGTGTTTTGGAGTCTGATTCATGCTCCTTAAATAATTTGTGAAGAGGTATGAAGAAAAGGTAGGTGCTGGTTTAGAGAAGGCACCTTGAACAGTCGCAATTTCAAACATTGTGACTGTTTAAAAAGTAGTTAACAGTTGGTGACTGTTAACTT